AAAAGAGCTATGCAGACGATGGACTCAACATGTTCCTTATCAAACGCATAATTTTCTCTATCATATCACCACTTAATCATATCTTCAACTTATCACTAAGCACTGAAATCTTTCCTGACTCATTTAAAATATCCAAAATCATACCGGTATTCAAGAAAGGAAACAAAGATGACATTAACAACTACAGACCCATCTCCATTCTTTCCCCGCTGTCAAAAATTCTTGAAAAACTTTTCTTTAAAAGACTCTCTAATTTCTTCTGCTCCAACAATACTATCTGCAACAACCAATACGGATTCAGACCCAACCACTCTACTGAGCTTGCTATTCTTGACTTCACTCAGCATATACTAAATGAAATGAATAACAAAAATCTTTCTATTGGCATATTCCTGGACTTATCCAAAGCCTTCGATGTCATCGATCACAAAATATTCCTATACAAACTACATCATTACGGAGTAAGAAGCACAGCTCACAACTGGATGAGAAGCTATCTCTCATCACGGACACAATATGTTTCCATGGATAACATCATTTCAAAGCATGCTCCTATTCATTATGGGGTACCACAAGGATCCATACTAGGACCCCTTCTATTTTCTATCTACATAAATGACCTCTGCAACGCCTTCAACCAAATGCGTACTGTTCGTACTGACGACACCAACCTTCTTTTCACTTCCAATAACCTACGAGATTGCTCTGAACTTATCAATCTTGAACTCCAAAAATACTCTAACTGGGTATCCAATAACAAACTAATCATAAATTATTCGAAATGTGCATACATTATTTTTGGCCCAAAAATACTCACCAACCAAGCTCCTAACCTAAACCTATTAATTAACGGCGTTCCTATAAACCGCACCCTGTCAACCAAATTTCTTGGAATCACCATCACAGAAAATCTTTCATGGAATTCTCACCTACAAACTACCTCAGACAAAATCAACAAACTCACAGGCATCTTCTACAAAATCAAATATAAACTCTCTCTTTCTGCTCTTCGCACGCTTTATTACACATTCATCTACCCTTATCTAACCTACTGCATCACACTATGGGGAAATAGTCCAAAAAGCCACCTGAATAACCTAATACTCTCTCAAAAAAGATCAATACGTTTAATTTTTAACCTCAAACCCGATTCCCATACTAAACCCTTCTTCCTAGCAAAAAAAATTTTACCACTTAACTTCATCTGTCGTTACTACTCTGCTTTATTCGTTTTTAAATTTATCAACAATCTTCTCCCACCTCACTTTATCAACTTCTACACATTAAGTAACTCCGTCCAATGTACAACCACTAGACATACCCCTCTCTTCCATATCTACAAAACTCGCCTCAAATTAATCCAGACAAGCATAAAAATAACAGGTCCTAAAATTTGGACAGAACTTGTACCTCCCCATCTAAGAGCCATCATAAACCTACAACATTTCAAGTCAAAATCCCGTGCTTTTTTTATTGACACTGGATCTCGACTCCACCACCTAATACTATATTAAGAATACGTTAGAACAAATGATGCGGATGAATGGTCTTTATGAATGGTTAAACATTTATGTGTTTATATATGTACTGAGCGAACATAGTTATATGTCTATATATGAATGACACGAACATTTACTTATTTATCTTCAATTATCTTTCTGCTTCAGTTATTTTCCTTATTTTATTCCATTAATTATTCATGTATCTACCTGCGGTGGCCACCACAAGACAAACAGTCTTATTCGGTCTCCGCATATTCAACTTCATAACTTTTTTTCAATTATTTGATATGTTGTTGATTATGAATAAAACTTTGAAAATGAAATGAAAATAGATAGATGGATAGATAGATAGATAGATAGATAGATAGATAGATAGATAGATAGATAGATAGATAGATAGATAGATAGATAGATAGATGGATGGATAAAAACATACATTACATACATACATGCAAATAAACATACAAACGCACATACATACATAAATACAAAGTGCTGAAATCAAAAATTCACTCCGTAACAACTTTTAACGCAAACATGGTGAAAGGGTGTATTGCGATAGACCTAATTAATCATCTGAAGTCGATTAATATCATTAATCCGCTTTAAAAAAAGGGCGAGTAAATTTAGATCTGACAACTGGCGACTATCTACATTACTTCAACTGCATATTAATGCTAAATATTCCGATGTTTTCGATAGAATAAATTTATTTTATCAACATTAAAATCTAATCTAAGCTAGTAAAAATAAATTGAATTTTGGTCATCTAAACATAAATAGCCGTCAAAGATTCCATCTCTGATAAAAATTTAGACGATGTACCATTAGAGAAAGTTTTTACACTTCTCTTCTGACGATGATGATCAACTCCGAATGGACACATTTGCTTCCACAAAGCTCTTGAAAAACTTAGAAAGCCAAAGAATTATCCCACTTTGCAGGTTGGTTGTTTAGTTCTCCTTTCAAAAATTATAGAAAAAATTACCGTTTGCAGCTCCCTGCCTACCTGAAAAAAATTCATTATTTCCAAAAGTTCAATTAGGTTTTCGTCGAGCACTTCTAACAGAGACAGCGATTTTGAACGTGGTTTCAGACGTTTCTGATACCCTTTATGCTGGAAAGATGTCAGTGCTGCGTTTGACACGGTGCTGGATCACCAGATTTAGTTTAAAAATCTGGGTGTGTCATATGGTGTCGGTAAAAATTTTGGAGCCATTCTGGATCCTCATCTGTCTATGGCTAGCCATGTAAATCAACTCTGCCAGCGATGCTTCTATCAACTCCATAAATATAATCATTCAGTTCAGACGTTATTTAACCGTTGATGCATCAAAAACACTCATTTCCAGTTTCATCTGTAGCAGGCAGAATAGACCACCCCAATAACCTTATTGTGGTGGTCCATTCTGGCTGGTCCATATTGTGGCAATGCACGACATCGACTTTTCTCTTCATGATGATATGCAGTCTGTCTGTTTCGAATGCTGTGGCTAGACTACATTTCAGCATATATCAACGATAAGCTTCACTAGCTTTGTATGCCAGAAAGAATCATTTTCAAACAAGTTCTTTTTGTCAGAGATCGTTTGAGATACTTCAACAATGGTAATCGGCACAAATTTGGACTGCCTTGCCTGTTGAACGTATTCAGCACGTATGCAAGAAGCGTACACCTCAAACACCATTTATTCAACAGTCAAGCAAAGTTAGCGCCTCTGAAGTTTTTCAGAAAAAGCTCTCCACAAATTTTGCAACACAATACAATAAAATATAATACAATTCAATCACCAGTTTTGCACTTGAATGAATAATCCAGGATCATATAAGTGTATATGTATGGATTTATATATATATATATATATATAAACTTCAATCAATAGTGCACTCAACAGTCAAGGCTTTTAACAAATCTTCATTTACATTTCTAAAAACATTTGTGAACAATACAATTAACTGCGAAATCGAATCGCCACTTTGCTGAGAAAGCTATAACATGTGCTTACTAAAATGTTTATTGCTAAGTACTAAAATGTACTTAGCAATAAACAGAAATGAACATATAACCTGCTCTGCTACTGATGGATCTCTATTCATGATGGCTTGAGCAGCTTTCTTGTTTCGAGTTGCAACCGCCACAGAAAACGGCGTCTGATTTTTTTTGTTTCGAACGCGCAAATTTAAGACGGGATGAGAAAGCAGCAGGAAAATGACATCGTGATGCTGGTTCCTGATGCCAATGTGCAGCGGCGTATCACCTTCAGAGTCCTGCATAGAAAATAAATACTTTGACTTGTAGGTGACAATGTGCTCTGAGAAACAGTTCATAAAATACACAAAATAACCAAGTAAGATACACAAGAACAGCGAACTCAAATTCAAACCCATTGATATAAAGTAAAAATTAACTGATGACCTTCGCGTTTACATCAGCCTGCGCTTCAATGAGACACTGAAGGACTTGAACAAGACCCCACGAAGCTGATAAGTGCAATGGACCCTGGTCATCCCTGTTCACCAAATCATTAATAATAATAATCAATAATAAATTTGAAATATTAAAAAAATAATTGAAAATGTTCAACAAATAATTTAAATAATTAATATATAATTTTAAATAGTCAATAAGTAATTTTAAATATTCAATAAATAATTTTAAAAACCGACGAATAACTAAGAAATTATTAAAAAATAATTGAAAATAACTAATAAGTAATATATTCAACCCAGGCTAACGTTGTCTCAACATATATAGCTTCCAATAATTACGACATGATGACAACTATACAAGATTTGTACTGAACTGCTTTCTATCTTAACTCAAGCTGCAAAACAGCTACTGAGATAACAAATCTTAGTTATCTTATTTTAAACAAGGCCCCTTATAAAAGATTATCTGATAATAATTGTAAGCAGACAAAACTCCAAATATTTTAAAGTATATCGTGTAAATACATTTGGCTCCATCTGACGATGATTGGAGAAGAACATACGTTTAAAAAAAGAATTGAAAAAGATTGCTACCTGGCTTCTTCCTCCCCTTCGCCATTAGGACCAGGTTTTCTTGGAGAATTTACGTCACATGAACTGTGTAGTAAACATTAAATTGTCTTTAGGTTTTTGTAAAATTTTATATCATTGATTTTCGGCTACGTTCGGCAACCAAACATACAAAAAAATTGGAAACGATTATCTAAATGCAAGAAATAAGATGTGTTGCTGGGTTTTATATAAGGTCCGAATCACTGCTGAAACAATAATTAATCTGTTATTAAAAGAGGAGTTGTGTAACGTGCAACAAAACAAAAATAAGATAAACAGTAAACACGTTAATTTATTAACACGGAGTGAACGTCGAACTTGTATATGTATATTTATATATGTATCGCACTTTTATATATTGTACATGTATATGTTTAAATATCTTTTGCTGTTTTGCGCAATAAATTTTTTACCTAACCTGAATTATTATTCAGTTAGGGCATGGCTTCGATTTAGAAATAATGTTAACTGAAGACATTGAAAATATAACATTTAGTTTAAACGTGACCCAAAGCCTCATTCAACTCAAACAAAACCATTAACTGTCGGCAAAATATCAAAATTCAAAATTTGGGTGCATAAATAAAGTTCTGACCGATAAATAACAGAAAAATCTACAAGTCTAAAAATCTCATCTACAACAGAAAAATGTTTGTACTGGCTATAACCCAAAATAGGTATGTTCGAAGAATGAATCACCTATAAACATTATTGGTATCGCTGTAAAATTAATGTACCGACCAGTGTTAATGAAATATGTTTGTTTTTTGCAGCTCGACGGCGTTTAAGTGCAGGGAGGCTTTCTTCACGTCTTCAAGTTAATGAAATAAAACATGAATAGCAAATGAAAACCTTCTGATGAGAAAGCATGCAACATCTTCCTTGTTTTCATCGATGGCTTTATGCAACAGTGTTTGTCGACAATTGTTGGGGCCTGCCGACCAACTGTCCACATCACATTTGTTTCTAATCTGACAACACCATAATTATATATTATTATTAAACCCATGTATAATAGTTTTGTTGGTTACTACAAAAAAAATTAATATGGTCTAATAAAAGCATTAAATTGATTATATTTTACAAAAACTTATTTGCGCCATTTTATTGCAATTTCTACATACTGTACTTTTATTGCAATGTTTTATTGAATAACCACTGTGTGAAAAATAATTTGCTTCAGGTTACAAAAGAAAATAGCAAAAAACAAAAAAGTGTCAATGAAATGGCGCAAACAATAATTATTTTAATTTAATTCATTTATTAAATTTTATTTAGCAAATTTAAAATAGATCATAAAAAAACAGACCAAAACTTGTGCACAGGCAAAAAGTTTGGCATCTAAAGCTTTCCACAATAAACAACATCCAGCCTTTTCGGAAATGACATTGGTATTACATCCAGCTGCACACAATCGATCAGTAACATCGGGCAAATTGGAATCGAGAGAAAGTTCCAAACACGAAACTCCGTCTGGAGTTCTTAAGATGATGAACAAAATTTTCAACCAGTTGATAGTTTTGCCATCACATAATCAACCCATTAATTTTAGTAAATTTGTTAAATAATTAAAAACAAAGTTACAAAGATTAAGCAAATAAAAAAAATTGATCAATTTATCGATGCTGGACACAAAACTCCATATTTGCCAATTTCGAAGTTTCGTCCAGATAATCGTTTCAACCTCCTTCCTAATTTTCACTTTTAAATTTTTAAACAAATTTTTTGCATTGCTATTTCACTGAATGCAAAATGTCTGTCAACTCCAAATTTCCACCTAAAATCGTTTCGCGTTCTTCCCAAATTGCTTTGTTTTTATCTGCAGAGCCTACTTCGTCCCTTGAAAATTAATGTAAAGTATTTGTCTCTTCATGCATATACGCTTGCTGATAAATTAATTAAGAAAATTTATATAAAATAGCGTTTCAATGTTTACATCAAAAATTGAATCATGATACTATCAATTTTAAGTAGCTAAATCAGGTTCAAAATAAATTTAAAAGCAAATTGTTTTGACGATAAGTCAATTTGAAATTAAATTATTTTGAAAATATGTTATTCGGATTTTAATAATGAAGTAGGACAAATCGGTCAAGTTTCCAAAATAAAACGTATTTACAATAAAATGTCGTAACGAAGAAATAATATTGCTACAATGTTTTTAAGAAAGAACATCTGTTTTGTCAATTTTGGAACATTTTTTTTTACTTTCTACACCACTTTCAAACTATAGTGGTCAATTCACCCTTTCAGTAATATGGGTTAGAACTTGAAGTTTTAAACATTTTTAACAAAATTAACAATAAATTCTACGAATTTTATAAATTCTCAAACTCAAACTGATATATTTGTTACTAGATGAAAATCTGTTTCAGGCTGGCATCATTGAACAGCAGAGCAGTTGAAATATCTCAGCTTTAACAATTTTTTTTATGAAACCATGACATAATACAGAATTAAAATAAAAAAGTTTTTACACAAACTTTATATTGATGTCAGCTTGTTGATCAATCAAAAACAAAGCACTTTCATAATTTTTGTTGATGATGGTTTGGTGAAGGAGTGTCAGATTATTGTCGTCCACATCATCCAAACATGCACCACAGTTAATCAGCTGAAGAGCCATGCTGTAATATTTCTTCCACAGTGCCACACCCAAACACGTCTGTCCTTCAGAATCCTTCAAAGCCAGGTTTAACGTTTTACCATTTTTTTTCACAGAACTACAAGTATTTTTTTGGCTGAGCCTCTTTCCTAAATTAAAAACGATTAATTTTATTCATGTCAGAATTGATAGTGGATTGAAAAAACTTTTAATTGAAAATTTTCAAGAATAACAATTAAAATATAATAAAAATATTGGCAAAATTTTTAACTTGTTTGTATTTAATAGAGATGGGAATCGAACCCTTTTTTTCAAAGTTAGGATTCAGTTCAGTTCGGTTAGATCTATAGTTCAAGATGACCTTAAGTAGAGTTTGAGTTTTGTTCGGCTTGATCCCAAGTAAAGTTTGGGATTAGTTTGGTTTGTTTCCATCGTGAGCACAGTTCGGGTTCGGTTCGACTTTCATAAATTATGCAATAACAAAAGCAAGCACCTGTAAATCGGGACCGTGGAAAAACCGAAGTCGGTATCGGGAAATCTACCATGTCTACTGAAATTATCGAAGTATCGGGGATTCTCAAAACTGATGCAACAGTATTTACTAGGACATTGGTAAATCCCCAAAAAATCGGTTTAGGTAATAAATACCAGAAACATACTAAAAACATGCGTATATATATTATATATGGCTCCTTTCTGTCTCGAAAGACAATGGATACGCCCAGCAGTATCACACTTTATGAATTCTTTTTATTTATTACATGATCTTCTCTGACTGAACAGACCAATTCTTGATTTACAAACTCTACCACAGATTGTACAATAGGAGGATTCTTCCGATGAATTGACAGATGGTAATTCTTCTCACTTCAAATCATTTTGCATATACGCAATACATTTATCGATTAATATATACTACTTGCATATAAACTGATTTGGAGAAAAGCCTAAAATAAAATCTACAAATTTAACAAGTGTTTTGCGAAACTTTTTATTTTGATAAAACGTTTTTAAACGTTTGACAGAGGATATTTTTTGTTTCGAGGGCGTCTCAGTCGCTTGCCATGGCGCTTTATAAGTCAACATCATCATTATCATTACATCAGCAATGTTTACTTTAAAATATAGCATAGCATATCCCAGTTGGTACATTGAGTGACATGCAGGTTTTAAAGATGTGTGAATTGCAAAATTTGCAACACCGCAAATTTGAGGTTAAGATTAGAACAGTCCGCTCAGTCCAGTTTCAAAGTTCGGGTTCGGTTTCGTCACAATACAAGTTAGGCTTCAGTTCGGTCGTAACTAATATTCGTGTTCGAACTTAAGTAGGTAAGTAGAATTCGAGTTCGACTCGGGGGTGGTTCGATTCTCTTTTTTAATAGTTGAGGCCACGTTCAAATCTGCCCAGGTAAATGCATTTGTCTGTGGTACTTATCCAAAAAGGGAATAATCATTTGCCATAGTATTTGAATATCAGTAAAGTAGAAGGTTGCATTATTAGGTTATAAAACGGAAAATTTGAGAGGAAAAGCTTAGTTTAATTTTTAAAACATTGGAAATTAAAAAAATGGCTGACTAACCACACATTTGAAGAAGAACGTGGACGACATCTGCATAGCCACACCTGATCGACATGTGCAGCGGCGTTTGTTTGGTAACCACATTCGAAAATGAAAAACACGATGAAAACGGAGACACCGATGATAACAATGGTGGAGTCAATGAGCACCCCAAACCAACTAAAGTCTGAAGGTTAGGATCTGCACCATTATGCAACAAACATCTGACTAACCTTAACAGATGAAGTCTACACGCTATATGCAAAGGGGATTCACCCTTTAAACAATTTTTTTTTAAATTAAGAAAAATGAAGAAAATAATAACCTACATTAAATTTTACAATATATATATATATTTATTTCTAAGTGTATGCAAATAATAGTATGATTGTTCTAACATCTAGGTTAGTGGAATCAAGACAAGCTCCATGCTTTATAAGAAAAATACTTGCGTTCACAAGCTTATTAAGACAAGCTTCGTGTAACATTGTGTTGCCTGTATAAGATTTTCAGTTTGTTGATACTTGTTTCAAAAATAAGTAAACACATATTCATTTATTTTAATCAAAAAAGTGAATAGAAAAGAGTCCAATTTAACTATAGAATCTGTTAACAAAGCTGTTAAAAATGGGTCAATCGGTTTCATCCATTCAATGTTATTAATTTAATTTCAACAATTCAGTTTCATTAACCAATTTATCAGTCAAATTAGTTTTACATATAACGCACGCCTGTCAATCTAAAGCTTAAAAAAGTGTTTGCGCTTATGTGCACGTGCATCATCTGTCATGATATTTTTCTGATAAAAAGATGTGTATTGCATTCGAAAATTCACGGTATATTCTGTAAAGTGAACAATTTACAAAAAGTACAAAAAGTATATCTGTAACCTGTTTCCTCATCTCGAACGTTCACCGAACTACCGTGAGATACAAGTTGACTAGCCATAGAATTTTCCGGAAAGCCATCATCGTCATCGTCACAATCTCTACTGTCATTATCATAAACGTCATCGTAATCCTCGTTGTAACATAAACGATGTGATATGTTATTCGAAACCACCTCGTTGCCTAGAGGTAAAAAAGTAGATTAATTTTACAAAATTTGTTAGCATAAATGAATCTATGAAAATAAAACACTGAAAGCAAGAATGATATAGCTGAAAATTTATTGATATTTAAATAAAATAAAAAATGTTCATAATGAACACAAAAAACAAAACGGAAAAGGCAAAAATTATGAAAATGATAAATTTAGTGTTAATAAAACAAAATTTGTAACACAACGGGAAGCTTTTCCGTGTGCAGCAACTGAGTCCGATCATCGCACACGTGAAAAAGAAAAAAGACACCAAAAATTGGTAAAAGCATTAAAACGACATTATTTAATAAGAAATATGATAAAAAACAACAGGAAAATTATAAATGAGATCCGAAACAATTTTGAACTCACAACCAGTTAAAAATGAAAATAAATGACAAGAGTCATTTAGATTGTAGTATAATTGTTTGGTTAGTAGATCGTTCGATTAAGGCTTTGCCTTGCTAGATCGGTTTGTTGGAATGCTAAAACAGTAACAAAAAATGCACCTTAATTCAAAATGCAAGACTTTCTCACTTGGAAATTGTGTGTTTACTTTATTGGCTTCCTGACTTCCAGTAATCAGGGCGAGCCAGAGAGGCGTGTGACCATCACAATTTTTAACATCAAGGTTCAAGGTTGGCTGTTCGATAAACAGCGAAAACACTCCAGCGTTATTTTTCTCCACGGCACAATGTAATGGGGTGCTTTAGATCATTAATTAAAACGAAAGAAATCATTAAAAAAAAAACATAAAAAACAACAAAGTAAACAAAAACCATTTTTTAGCATCCTGTGCATTGAAATGGCAGGCGTTTTTTAATAATTTGCTAGCTATTCTGCAGATTCCATCCATTTGCTGTGATAAATTTGAAAAATACGAAGCCACCAAGTGCAACGGCGTTTTTTTATCTAAAAAAAAAAATAAAAATAAATTTAACACTAAAAATTTACATTTAAAAAATACGCTGTATTATCGTATTAGGCATCCCAATGACCTCAGCCAAATATGGTAATAAGCATGATGCATTTAAGTAAAAACTTTGAAAACATTAAATTTTTACAATTCTCTCATTAGTATCAAAATGTAGCAAAATGTAGTAAAAGTAGTAGTAGTAGTAGTAGTAGTAGTAGTAGTAGTAGTTGTTGTAGTAGTAGTAATGCTGTTCTGTAAATTTATCCAGAGAGCATGCTGTCAGGCATGCTAGCACAGCCGATACTTTGATTGATTATTGTTCATCCAACAATCAATACCTGCTTTAAAACTATTTAATGTTTGCGCATCGACGAGTTCATTTGGCAATGAATTCCAGATATTTGCTGTTCTATTGAATAGGTAATTCTCTCTGTTTCTATGTCTTGTTATTTCTTTGTAATATTTCATACTGTGACCTCGCGTTCTAGTTACAACATTATTAAATTGATTTATTAAATTAATTCTGTCCATTTTGTGCTTGCTTTTGAATATCTGAATCAAATCTCCTCTTCTTCTTCTTTCTACCAATGTTGTTAGATCCAATTCTCTGAGACGATCGATGTAAGCAAAATTTCTTATAGAAGGAACTAATTTTGTTGCTCTGTGCTGGACTCTTTCAATCACTTCAATATCCCCCTTCAAATCTGGGAACCAAACTGACACCGCAAACTCCAAAAGTGGAAAATGAAACTGTGTGGAAGGAATCATAAATCATTTAAAATGAACATAAGAAACCCAGTGCATAAACATCTTTGCATTGCAATCTATTGATTTAAAATTAAATAATCAAATTCGAAGCAATAATTATAATTCAACAAAACCGAAATTTTAATTTCAAATAATGGGAAAATTAATGTTTTCACATGTTTGTGTATTTTTTTTGTTTGTGACTAATTAAATGTAATATTAATTCATTCGTGTTAAAGTTGAAATGGATGGTGCAGGTGGAGTTGTATGATAAACATGTTTCACCCAAGGAATCCAAGAAATTTTACATCTCCAAAATATTTTACAACGTATCCAAAATATTTTACATTTATAATTGAACATATTTTAATTGTCTTAGTATAAAAAATATAAAAATATATTTTGGATATGTTGTAAAATTTCTTGGGTAAGTTGTCATATTTCTCGTAAAACCTGTATTAGTTCCTTTATTATTCCTCATGCTGGGGTGCACTACTCATGCTGGGGTGCACTGGCTATGAGGCGCGTCCCCAGGTGGTGGGTAGGGAGAAGTCCTTGGCAGAGTGGCCTTCTAAGATTGCATTGAATAAAATGGAGCAAACCAACTGTACCAGAAGAAGACAACGGTGAAAGAGGCGAAAGATCCTAGGACAACGGCATCATCAGCGGATAATCTTCTATTCCAAATCAACTGCCTTGTGGAACATAGACCTTTGACTCAAAGGCTAGGTGCATTGCTTATACAGTGCTCCCTTGGGCACGAGATAAACTGCAACCGCACTGCCTTATGCGCTTCCAGCAAAAAGGCTAGGCCCACAGCTTATAACTGGTGGTTATCGTTAAGAATTGGGCAATTCCATATATAAAAATTTTTTTACCCAAACATCTTCCATGTCATCACAAAAAAAAGAAAAGATGAAAAAAAAGATATTCCCTGGAAAACCTTAAATGGTCAAGAGGTGACAATATCCAGAAAGTACGCAACAGTGGAGGAATGTTGCGAAAAATCGGGCTTCCTCTCATGGAATATCAGACTTGGCACTTTAAATACTGGATAGCTCCATAGAGATCGTCGACATGCTGGAAAGGCGAAGAGTTGACATCTGTTCTCTGCAGGAAACAAGATGGAAATCAAATGGTGTCCCTCTCATTGGGAGTTACAAGTTGTTCTGGAATAGCCAAAAGACAGCCAAAATGGAATGGGAATCTTCATACGGGAACAACTGGCAGAAAATGTACTGGAAGTTACTCTCAAATCAGCTCACGAAACTCAGAATTGGAAACCAGGCTCTGACAATTTTCTCTGCATATGCACCACAGACCGATGAATCTGAAAATGCCAAAAATGACTTCTGGAACACACTCTCAGATGCCGTCAGGTAAACACCATTATCAGAGATACCACTGATATGCGGCGACCTCAACGGCCCTGTTGGAGATAAAGCAAATGGGTTCAACGGTGTCCATGTAGGCTTTGGCAACGGGTCTCAAAACGAAGACGGTGTACGGATTCTGAAATTTGCTGAAAGCCATGAACTCTCCCTGTTGAACATCTACTTCAAGAAAAGGGCAGAACATTTGATCACATATAAAAGCGGGATGTCATGAACACAAATTGACTTTATTGTCGTCAGACAACAACATAGACGAATTTTCAGGAATACCAAAGTCATTCCAGGCGAAGTATGCATCCCTCAACATCGATTTCTGGTCGCCGATATGATCATAAAACGATCATGCCCTGTGACTGATCGAATGCCTACTAAAATAAAGACATGGAAACTGAAGAACCCCTTGTTCGGGGAGAAATTCGAGGAGTTGGTATCGACACAGCTGGATCGTCTGGAAAAGGTAGACATAACCTGGAAATCTTTTCAGGACACTCTAGTGAACGTTGCAACAGCTGTATATGGAAAATATAGACCAAAACGCCTGCACAACCGCGAAACTTGGTGGTGGAACAAAACGGTGCAAAATGGTATTGCCAGTAAGAAAGCACTTTTAAACAATGACAGAAGATCAAAAGACATACTGATCAAAGAACACAGAAGCGAAATGTCAGGTTGCGATAACTCGTGCAAATCAATGACTGGAAGTAAAGACGAACAAATTCGGTCACTCTACCTAATAGCAAATCAGGCCAAAAGACTGAAAAAGGGTATAGTTGGTGCCACATGCATAAAGAATAATAATGGCACCATAATAACCTTGCAGAACGAAGTGAAGGATCACTGAAAGGATTACTTCGATCAGCTATTGAATGAAATAAACCCTATTGAGGTGGACTTTGATGCACTTCCGGTGGAAGGACCGATTCAGGGCATCACAGCTGAGGAGCTTACGAATGCGCTGAAGGCAATAAAGGGGGTTAAAGCGGTTGGTCCGTCTGGACTTAAAAATGATATCATCAAGGCATCTGGTGGGACAGGCTTCCGAGCCCTCTTACACATCTGTCAGGAAATGTGGAGTCAATCGATACTACCAGTGGAATAAAACAATAGCACAACTGTGCAGATATATAAAGGAAAAAAAGACCCACTGAAATGCTCCTCATATCGGGGTATACGTCTTCTGGAACACCTCCTGAAAGTTATTGAAAAAGTTATTGAGAGAAGTCTTTTGTCGTGCGTTTTAATAGGTAGTTACCAGTACGGCTTCATGGCAAGGGATCTACCATTGATGCTATCTACATCATTCGTCAACTACAGGAAAAATACATATACATGGCAAAGCAAAAGCGACTGTCTTTGTGGACATGGAAAAGGCTTTTGACAGAGTGCCTCGTGAGGCAATCAGGTGGAGTCTACGTAGACAGCTTGTTCCCGAATATCTGGTTCGGCTGGTTATGGCAACGTACTCTAACACAAAAACTCTGGTCAGTAACACGAATAAATTTGATATTAACATCGGCGTCCATCAGGAATAAATACTCAGCCCCCTGCTCTTCATCACGGTGATGGAAGAAATAACCAAACCGATACGCTCAGATAACATGTGGAATGTGATATATGCAGATGATATCGTCCTGACGGCGGCCTCGGAACAAGACGCAACCAGATAATTTGGGGTCTGGAATACTCAGTTTGCCGAACACGGGCTAAAGGTAAACCTTGACAAAACAAAAACTATAATCACCAGTGGTACCGCTGAGCCTGTGGTCTCTGGTCACTGGCCATGTTCGGTGTGTGGGGCTGGAGTTGGAAGCAACTCGATCAAATGCTTACGATGTCAGCAGTGGTGTCACAAACGATGCTCGAGAATTACCGGCTCACTGAGGAAAGTGACTGATTTCATAAACCTCGCCTGCATCAACCCGCGACAACGGAGCCCAGATAATGATACGATTACCGGGATCGAAACTGTTACTTCATTTCAGTATTTGGGAGATATGCTGGATTGTACTGGAACAGCTGATGCCGCCGTTCGTGGACGCATACGTGCGGCGTGGGGCAGATGACACCTTTTTGCCTCGGTACTGATACGGCGTAGCATTCTTCTACCGCTGCTATCAGAACTATACAAAACAGCTATACGTTCTGTTCTAATGTATGGTGCAGAGGCGTGGCCGATGACAACAAAACTCAAACAGCAGCTTCACCAAACTGACATGACGATGATTCGTTGGATGCAGCATGTTAACCTAAGGGACCCTATCCATACAACCGAGATCCTGAACCGATCGGGACTGTGCACGTTGAAAGATGCATGTCGTCATCGCCAGCAATGGTTTGGCCATGTGAAGCGAAAACAATACAATAATTTCCGTTACTGAACACCAGGTGCCTGGCACCTGCCCAAGAGGTCGCCCAAAAAAGTCCTGGACCAGTATGGTCTGCGTCCAGGAGGACTTGAAGGCACTTAGTCTCAAGGAGACAGACGCAATGGATAGATCGGCTTGGAGACAGAAGCTGATGAATGGAATAAAAAAAAGTCCGACCAATAACGGATGGAAACTATAAACGAGGATTGATTGATTGACACCACGTTATGTTATACTATGTTGTTAGTTTATATAAATAAAATAGTTCTAGTGAATTATTTTTGATTTTATTAAAATTCATTCTCTCTGTCAGACGCAGAGAGTGTCATAACATGCAAGAAAATACAAAAATTTATTTGTGATTCATAAACAAAAAAAAATACGTACCGTGATAAGTTGATGTGTTAATATTACAGCCATTGTTAATTAGAAAGGAAGCTGAGTACTCGTCGCCTGTACAAATTAATGATGGTAATGCAAAGACGATTGAAGATGATGAGATAACATGAAGAACTTTATTTTAATTTGATTTGAAAAAATATGTGCTGACAACACTTAAACACATACTTGTGCTGACTCAACTTAACAAAATTAAAAATTGCTTGATCACTAAACTAAAAAAGAATTGCTGTTATACGATATAAATTCTTCCAGAAAGAGTATGAAAAATACATAAAAAAAACCTGAATGGAATAATGTTTGAACTAAAATTAATTCCACATAAACAAATGAAAGATAGATGTTAAAGCGCAATAATTAGTGTTTAGAAAGAATTTCGGAGCCAAGACAAGTATGAGCACATTTTTCAAAATTTATTTCTAGAAGTAGCAGTAGCAGTTTTAGATTATAATTAATCAATTCATCACTCAACAGCGAACTGGAATAATAAAAACGCCAGCATTGTCAGCATAAATATTAATTTAAAATATAGTCTTAAGAGAAGAAAATAATTTATAAATAATCTAATAACAAGGAGCATTGCGAGCAAGTTTACATATTACACTTTTACCAAAGTAGACATCGTTACGCTAACAGACGGATGCATGTTATGCTTCAAGTTTACTTAACAGCAGAGAAGCCAACAAAATCAATAAATAGTAGAAATCGACCGAAAGTTCGGTTTTGGCCAATTACGGCAAGATTTATGCATTTGTGACTATGGCTTCATTAGCCTGCCAACACTAGTTTCAAATCCAGTCTAAAACTTTTTTACATTACATTCCTTCTCTTATCAAAAAATAACTCAATACATTAGTTTAAAACCAATACAAATTGAATTTATACCTCGCAATCAATTTCTGCAAATAATCTTATATACAATCATATTAATAATATACATGAGAAAGCAATCATACATTAAAACATGCGTACAAAATAAAAACAAGTTTTTAATATGTATTTTATCAAAATATTTTGCTAGTAAATTTTATCTTGTGTTCTGTTTTATTAGTATTAATATTTTGATTCGATACATGTTGACCGCATGTCATATGTTTTGATGTTCGATACATATTTTAACATTTTAAAAAAGAATCTGTTTCGGCTAAAACCTGGACCATGGCCGAAAATTAGGATTCGTTCATGGCCGGAAGTTCGGATTCAAAATTTTAGTTACGGTCAGACACTAATAAATTTAACGTGATAAGCATATTATCCACAAAAGAGTGTTCTGAGCAAACTCACTATTATTGGATAATTAGATCTACCAGAATAAAATCCAAATCAACACAATAAGAGAAGACTACTAATAATAACAAATTTAAGCACGCACAGTCCCCATTTTCTTTTCTCTCCATATGGCCAAACCATCTCAGTCTAATACCTCTAATTACATATGACAACTCATCTATCCCCAACCCTTTCTTTGTTGCTTCATTACTAAGATCATTCTTCAAGAATACTCCTATCATTCTTCTCAAAATCTGCATTTCAGTTCTCTCCAGCCTTCTTAAGTTTTCAGCCGTCATAGCCCAAGTTTCGAACCCATACAACAGACAATTTCATATATATGCTTTATATACCTTACTCTTCAGACCTGATGGTATACCCCAAGAACACAGCAACAGCACTGAAATCCTTTTTTTTGATTTTTTTCCATCCTACTTTTATTCTATTCTCGACTGCTCTATCCAATCCACTCCCCTCACTTAGTGTAGTACCTAGATACCTAGATAATAAAAGAACCCAACTTTTCCATAATATACAAAATATCAAACACATAATATATTTAATTATATAATATATATGTATAAATATAAATGAAGAAAATGAAACAGGGTTAGAGAGAGAGAGAGAGAGAGAGAGAGAGAGAGAGAGAGAGAGAGAGAGAGACAGACAGAGAAAGAGAGAGAGAAACAGAGGTAGAGAAAGATGGAGAGAGAGAGAGAGAGAGAGAAAGGCCATCATATGTTTCTTTTTATTAAATTTAAAAAAAAACTGAAGTGCCTCTGTTAATAGCCTTGTGCAAAAGACAGTGTCCAAGGTCATCAGGTCTATCAACATCCACTCCATGTTCAATGAGAATATTCAAGATGCCCTCTTGCTTGGTCATAAGAGCAAGGTCAATGGGCAGATCTCCAAGTTCGTCCATTTCATTCAACTTTTCTGGCAACTTATAATAAAAATGTAAAAGGTTTTATCATTAATTTAAAAAAAATCATTAATCAAAAATAGTAAATTAGGAGCCTCCCATTGTCTCAATCTTTCCTAAAAACATTTCAACGGCTCCCAATTTGTCTTTGAATTATTTATAAAAGTCCAAAGCTAAGAAATATGTCAAAGATTATTGAGACAAGATCTGGAAGATAAGGAAATCGTAATATTTATAAAGTAAGTTAAATAACAATGAAAAATAAAAAAGCGCAAAGAAAATGGAATAAAAATATAGCATTTTGTTGCTCTGTAGGACCCTTTTTCAAAAAGCTCATTTAAAAATAAAAGCTTTCAACCAATCTATCGAAATGGAATTCCAACTGGAATGGCAAGAGTAGAAGAATCAGTTATAAAATGTACAGAATGTACTGGTAAATTTTCGAGAACGGAAAATACCAGATAAATGGTGCAAGTTAGTAGTCCTGGGTCTCTGGACGCTAAACGAAAATTGAATTGTATAACTGAAAACAAAAAAAATTGGGCATGATGAAAATGCTATTAAAATGGTGCAATATATATGAGCAATCACAGGAAAAAAGGGAATGATGAGGCATTTAGCAAAATTGTTGAAAGATAAACTGGGAAAATAGATGAAGTATAAACGGACATATTATATAAAAATATATAAAGATGTATAAATGAAGAAAAAAATAGATCATTGATAACAACTAGCTAGTCAAAATCGTTTAGTCACAATTTCAGCTGATGATAAAAAATAATAATAAAAATTGGCCAAAAAAATGCTAACCTGAGAATGGAATTCAATCATAAAAAGAAAGACGACATCTTCCCTTTGCATTCTGATGGCCAGGTGCAAAGGATAGGAACTTTTAGCTTTGAAGACCTGATAAGCAGTGGAAGGTGACATGCTAGAAAAGTCTTCAAAGGTGAATGTATCCTGTAAATAAAAATAAGGCCAGTTATTTTGATTTAAAAAATTATTTAGACGCTGTTCAGTTTTCATTAAATACTATATGTTTAAAAGTTAAAATTGTCTTCAAAATAATAAAGCTATTTCTTTTAAACAAACAAACTTTTATCATATAATTAACAATCTTATGAGCATATTAGCTGTTTGAATAATACTTTCTATGTAATAAAGGAAAATGTTTGCGTGGGCATTTGTCCGTTGTGTGCTTTGCAGAATGTTGAGATTTGAAATTTTCTTTCAACTTCCAGTCATCCCAACAACAACAAAACAACACACGTTTAGACGGCATTTTCCCCGAGATCGGGGGTTGCCGTTTGGCTACCTATGATGAAACCGAAATACCCCTCGACTCCATCCACATCTGTCACTCGCCTCAGTATCACGCAACCCCGCTTTCACCCTGTCCTTCTCCACCTGCTCTCTCCATCCCAATCGCGGACGACCCCTTCCTACCACTCCTTCAACCTCGAACTCCAACGCTCGCCTAATCCCGACCCTTTCATCCCTTCTCAACACATGTCCATACCACCGCAATCTCGATCTCCTTATCAATGTCACAATGTCCTCATTCAGTCCCATCATTGACATCAGCTCTGTACTACTCCTCCTATCCTTCACTTTAACCCCACACATCATCCTCACCA